CACCGTGACACCCAACCGCCCGCAGCTGAGCGGAAAAGCCGTAGGTTGAGAGTTACCTGCGATTCCTTCCACCTGCCCACACAGCAGGATGGCTTTTGGATGAACTCCTGATATACTAATACTTTATAGTAAAAAAAAAAAACCCACCAAAGTTACCTTTTTTTTTTTTAAAGAATTTGTTTATTTATCGAACCTGGGTCATATTTAGATTCACAAGCAATTTTTAAATGTACATCTTAGAATTCAATTTTAAGTGTTTTACACAAAAATATTGGCACACAACAGTCGCAATAAGGTGTAACAGCCACCTTTCTGAAGAACTGCTGCAAGTGTTTGCCCAAGGTTGAAAAAACTTTACCCGGAACATGAAAACCTGTAACAAATTTTAAATTAATTGTACAAAACTGTTGTGTGTTACTTGTAGAGGCTCCCCCCTGGAAAAGACCCCACCCCACCCCCAAAAATGATTACAACTAATATACATCAGTCACAACATAATCCTGGCTCAGCACCCACATCAGACGCTTCTTTAGTTTTTAAACCAATCATCAGATACCGAGGAAAGTAACTTTATACAAAAACAAATCTACATGTGCCTGAAAAAGAAAACACACCAGTATTTAGCATTATGCTAATCATGATCAGATAACGGCAGAGACTGCCACTTAACTTAAATACAAGGGCTGCATAGCATCGCAATGAACCCCCAGAATCATTAACCCTTTGGCATCAGGAATCCAGATTTCCTGACCACCAACGCATCCTGCAAGAGCGCCCACAGGCTGAGCTTTGGACCTGCAGAAACCAAAGGGTTAACTATCATTTGCCAAGACACTGCACACAATTGGCTTCGATGTAAAACCTGTGAAAGACTAAAAACCATTCGATGAACATTTGGTAACGAGAGGAGAAAATGTACTTTCATATCAACTGTTTAATTTAAAAGAACTTTGGGAATAAGTTGATGTAATTAGGATTGTTACTGAAGACTTTCTTTTAAATATCAACTAGGAATGAATACTAGATCCGAAGTGGTCAGCTGTCTTTATTCACTACCAGAATAAAGTTCCAATCGCTTCTCCTTGGCGGTTTATGTGAGTGAAGAAGGGATTCTTTCAATTTCATAACACCTACTGCAGGGTTAAAGACGTCAAAAATGCAAACAGTCATGTTAGGGCCTTGTACCGTTTCCCTAGATAGGACTGCAAGGACTTATGGAAACAGGAAAAAAAGTTAGAAAAGACAACAACATTGCTTGTTACTACAGTTGAATTACAGCATTTGCAGCTTGCTTGGACCTCGCTTAGCATACAGACTAGGCAGATTTAAGTGAAAAAAAAATATGCCAATTAAGTGACAAGATTTCAGCACAGCTTTTGCTACAGAAGATATATAAAAACAATTCATTTTTTAACTAGGAAGGAACAGAAGCAAATAAGTTTTACAGTTCAGTAAAGAGGGTTCAGAAACTAAATGACTTTTTTTTTTGTGACCAGGATGTTTGGTAGACAGTGAACTGAAATCCGGGACCAGAAAAGTACTCTTAAACCACCCTCCGGACTTCAAAAAACCTCTTCAGATAGTAGATTTGTCCCAGTGTCATGGCAACTAGTACAAGAGCTTCAAAGAATGACCAAAGAACCACTCTGCTGTTTGTGTTGTCATTAACTGTTGGAAAACAAAACAAAACAAAAGGTAGTAAGTAACAAAGCATTTAAAACAAACTTAAAACACACTGTGTCATTGGAACTGACGTACCACTGACATTTGTATCATGTCATTACAAGCGTCCCACAAGGCCTCTGCAGCCCTAGAGATGAGGTCTGAGAGCTGAGCGGGGGCATTTGTCTGAGCAGTTTGAACGGTGCTACACAAGCAGGTGTTTTAACCTCACCTGTGGACATACACCACAGCTCTATTCTGCCCACTTTGAAAGAGGCCAGACAGAAGCTTGTAACTGCCAAGCAGCAGCCACTCGCTTTTTCAAGTAACAGTCATGTATTACGGTCTCAAAGTCCAGCGGGAAATTTCTAATCTCTAAAGGTTCATCATCTTGGGTTCTAAAAATTCTGCATTTTCTCAATCAGACCATTAGCAACAAAAGTCATAAAACCGGAGATATGCAAAGGTTCAAAAAGTTGAGGGGCCAGCGCTTCAATATAATGTTGTATTTTCACATTAAAAATATTTGTGCTTTATTCTCACTGGGTTTCCCCAAACACTCCACTCTGCACTCTCAGTCATACTTTAAAGTTGCATTTCAGAAAGTGACCGGAGAGCTAACCATATTCTCTACTTGGAAACAGCAGTCATTCTGCTCTATTCCATAAAATAGAGTATTTGAAATAGACTTTGGCTCAATTATTAAGCCACATCCACTTCAAAGATGAAGCAAAAGTTCAACCAAAGTCTGTCCCCGGAACCCATATCATTACTGCCATCTTCACCAATATGCCATTCCAAGAACTACAGCATTTACACCAATTAAGTCAAGACTATTTTGCACAACAATCGTCATTACATGAGAGGCAAGCCAATTTAAAGAAGACTGCAAGCACCAACTACATTCTTTATTGTACGGACAGGCAGTTCAGAACTTATTCTAAATTTTTTTTTAGTACTTGGAATAGCTTTCATGGACTTGTATTTTAAATCGCATTTTGTAAGTTCATTTCAGGGGAGAAGGCATTTAAGTCAAAGACACATACTTGCTCTATGTATTCTTTCACGAACTTCCATATACTCCTGTTCATGCTTTACAGCTGTCATGGCCACTGCTAACTCATTAATCATCTCTTCTAGTTTGTTCTGATGAGCTGCAGAATAATTTCAAAAGCACCAGAAAGTCTTGTTACTAACTCAAAAAACAATTTGTTAAAATTTACAGTTATACTTAATTTCCTGTCACAGAAGGAGTTCTGAAAAATGCAGTCTGAACAGCTGAAAACCTTCTTTTCTTACAGCAAAGTAACGTTTAGTTTTCATAGCACCACTTTTCCTATGGTGTGTAACTATGGTACGCAACAAGTGGGAAAACATCTTTCTCCCCATCCGACTGGAAGACAGAAGACACACAATTTAGAGTCAGTACAGACCACTGATTCCCAAGGTGGGCATACTCTTCCAGAACAACAGAATGTCAGAACACGGGATCAATACCACACACTAGTCTATTTTGCCAATATCGTCCAATATATTCCAGGCAAATTATCTTAACATTACAGCTTTTCCTAGATGTTAAGTTTGCAAAAATAGAACGACTGCGAATTTAGCTGAAGATCATGATGCTGGCAAAACGAGATCACTTTCTGAAGCGATATTTCACATCTCGTGATCTTCCGGTTTAGCTGAAGCACAGCATTCAGCAGAGACAATGCCAGAGGGGCCTGGCAGAGGGCAGGAACTGGCTTCAGGTTCTGGTATGCCGTGAAAGCAGAAGGGAAATATCTGTTACCATTGTAACAGAAAACTAGCCTGAGATAGTTCAGCAAATGGAAGGATCAGAGAACCAAGATTTAGCGATTTGACTGTCAATCACAGGATCTTTTCAATACGTTCATGCTTAAAGAACGATCCACTTTGAAAATTACTTGTATAACTTACAAATTTCTAAGTTTTCTAGCACCCAGGGAAGTTCAAGACATCATTCCACATACACGCCCTGGGCAATCAGCTCTTAAAAAAAGTCACAAAACTGACACATTTTCCACTAAAGGGACATACTTGACTTTGAAGCTACCTTATTGCATTTTTATTTATAAATTAAGTGTTTCAGATCACAATCTGAAAATAAAAGTTATTCAAAATACACACCTTATGGGGAACGGTCAAAAAGAGGACCAGAGAATAACACTCAAGCAAGTTACACTTAAAATCTAAATAGTTCTGTAAACCACACTTACTTTGCTAATATCGTAAATCCCGTATTTTCACAACCAACTGGTCACTGCAGTAAGTGCAGTTTATTATAAGAGAAGAAATTGCAGTTGCAGGGATTCTTTAAACCCATTCAAAAAAAATACATTCAAGAAAAAATGCCTTAAAAATCAAAGCTGCACTAATATTCTTTACAACAGATACATTCAGACTCAATAAAACATTTAACTGAGTCTTCAAAAAAACCCCAGAAGTTAGGAATTTGTTACTTTTCAACTGACATCAAGCACTCAGTGCACACAGTGATTTACTTGCTAAAATAGAAAACAAGTATTTATTGCCTTTCTAGCTACAGTTAGTGATTTCTAAACAAAACTTTATAACTTGTTACCCAATACATGAATTTATTTCTTTTGCAGCAAATGACAAGTTTGAAGTTTTTGCCCTTGGAACATTACTGATAATTCACAATCTAAAAGAAGCTTGCTGCTTCCAAAAGCCATCGATTATTCAACACCCACTTCAGCAACAGAAAGCAAACACTGTCTAAATATCCAGTGTTCTTGGATGTTCAGTGTTTTGGTTTAACTTCACCTAGAACTCCTGATTAAATCTTCCATTGGCCATAAAGAACCACCTGAAGACAAACTGTCCCGGATAGTTCAAGGACCTGATCCCAAGAGCTGCCAAGTTTATAAACCTCTCGATGGAAGCTTGCAGGTGCTCAGCATTGCTCAGAATCAGACCTTTTATGTAGTTTATTAAAAAGACATTCTCATGCTACAAACAAATGTTACAGAGAAAAAGCCAACGTTAGCTGTTAGTGAATAAACATATGCAAAAGACAAGATGCTAATGAGCTTTCAAAAAGCAGGACACATACCATCCCAGGTATCTCCACCACCTAGAGGAAAGTGTAAGAGATGAACACAAGTATAGGACAAAAGGCTGCAGATAAAACAGTAACTTACACAGCTAAAAGAAACCTTTGTATATTAGCACATTTATCAAAGAGCTCAGCTAAGGCATGTAGTGGTCTACATACTGCTGAGCAAACTAGAAACCAGAGAACAAAACTGATGAAAAGACTAAAGGATGAAAGCATTAGTATCTGCAGATGGCCAAGTGATTCCCTGGTGATTTTGCATTAAATCGTGTACTGAGATCTAAAAACCTCCACATCCACTTCAGCTGTGCAAGAGAACAGCTAACTAGACAGCCTGAAGAAATGGGAATTCTGAGAATCCTAGTGAAGTTCAAAAGTCATGCATATAGGGAAAAGCTCCCGAGCTGGAGCTAAATTCTTTCCGAGAGTCTCTCTCACCTTCTGTCTCCATGTCTTGCCCCTTTGGAGCTTCCCCGATATCAATAGTGAACATCACTATCTTGGGAGTCATGGTGGACATTCTGTTGCTAAAGCAAAACTTGTAAGTTCCATCCATGTGGGCAGCAAACGTGTATTTTCCACTGGACTCTCGGTCGCCTTTATAAATTCCTTTATTATCAGGCCCTGTAATCTGGACGAGGAAAACAAAATATCATGCTTTTTTTTTTTAAATACAGTGGTTTTAAACACACCATTACAGCACTACATGCATATTCTCAAGTTATCCAGTCCGATTTACCAATACCACCTGTAATCTGACTGGTTTGCCATTCTTCATACTTTCCTTCTCACAACTCAAAAGCAGAAGAGGTTTTTTTTGTTGTTGTTTTAAAAAACCCAACAACTTCTTGGTAAAGAAAGCCATACAAAAGCCTCTCTTACTGGCCAAGACTACTGGCCTTCCACATTCAAGATAAGAAGCATTCAAGAACAAGCAAACCATAACCAATCGGCAGCCCTGGCTGTTACCCAAATTAACAACTGCAGAGCAAACCTTATCTCTGGTGTTTGAAAGAAAACAAAGAGGGAAAAAAGACATTCTCCTATATGTCAATACTACTTTAGACACACAGTTGGGTATCGTTGCAGTTGCCATTTCAAACGGACTAAGGGCCAGAGTACTGAGCGCTTGGAGTCGCTGTGATTTTAAGGCTTCCATCCCACCAGACCACCAAACTCAGCTGCTGAGCTTCCACTGGTGACACCTGAATGGGTTTTCACAGCTTCCCAACTCTGTCCCGGATCACAGCGACAGGTAATTTTAAACTGTCATATCCACTCTCAGCAATGACTCTCTTGCAGTGAAGTTATCCCAAACAAACAACTACCTGCTCCTCACCAAGGTGAAAAGAATTCTCATTCATTATTTTCCTACTAATTTAATGCCTCATTGAAGAAAAGGACTTACCCACAACTCACAGGACAGCAATCAACCTGATCAAAGACAACACCTTTTGACACACTGTTCCCAGGATAAGCATCAGGTTTTTGTAAAGAGCAATCCTGTTCATTCTTCCCGCCAAACGGTTTATAACGACAAGACTATACCGAGCACAACAAAGAAGAAAATCTCAAGAGAGCAGCTCTGAAAGCAGGATGACTGCCTTCTGCACCAACAGCAGGAACGACAAGCAGCCTTAGGAAACGCAACCCCCACGAGAGGCACCTCGTCCTCTCCGAAATCACCCACGCCACCACGCGAGGCCCGACCCGGCCGGGCAGAGAGCCCCTGTGCCCAGCAGGCACGGAGCCCCTCCGAGCCGGCGGG